CGCGCCTCGCTTGGGACCCATTTTGCTCCGTTTTTATTTATTAAGAGAGGAGAATATCTCCTCTATAATTTTTTTTTTGGAGAGAAGTAAAGTGTCCCGACGGACTAGCTCTTTGGCTAAAGCCAAGAGAACTTGCACCCCAATCACCCGTTGGATTATTCCGCGACGCGAAAGCTACCGGCAACTGGAGGATCAAGCTCGTTACCTGCGCTACCAAGTGGTGAAGCCAGACAGCACCCTGCGCTGCTTTGTAGTCGCCAATACTGGTAACAACTTCTCAGATGCAGAGCTGCTATTTTGTGAGGCAATGCTGGTGATGGTGGTGCCAACTTATCCGTTAGCGGTGATGGATGCTTGTAGGAAGGCCGAAGGTTTTGGTGCGGAGTGACGCCTTTGATGAAACAACCCCTTGTTTCACTGGCTGCAAGAGAAAGCGTGACGACAAGGAGGACAGACCAAGGAAGATGCGTAGGCTGCAAGAAGAACCTATAGCTCCCAAGGAGCTAAGCGCCAAGGTTATGGTCTACAGGTACTTCTTGCAACCTACGCATCTTTCTTGGTCTGTCCTCCTTGTCATCATTATGGTCTACAGGTTCTGGCCATCACTATTACGGCCTTGTGGAAGGGGCGGAACGGGTTCAGGTGTTTGCTGCGCACTCGCTTGATCTGTGACTGGAGGTCCTTCCTTGGCTTCAGCGAACTTAGAGCTCTATGAATCACGGGGGGGAGGGGAAGGTCAATGACTCATTGGTAGTGTTGTAGTAGTAAAGGTGTCTAAGAGTGTGCATTGTGGTTGATGAGGGTACTCTTGTTAAATAAATATGTGCAATGTGCAATCTCACTCTACGCCAAACATTGAAAGAAGCTGGGACCTTCATTCACCTGGGACGTTGAAAAAGGCGGGATGAGAGTTTCACTTACCGAAAAATCATTGCCGCCGGGGCCATGAGTGATCATAGCTCTATGATATTGTCGGGATCCGTCAGTGGCGCATTTTAGGCAGATGTGGAGGTGTCTGTGCACAATCTTCGATGTTTGAAGGCTCTGCAAATGCCAACTCCGTTGTACGTGATCCAATTAGGACGTAATCTGCTTTCGACACCCGGCCTCGTCGGACCGGCCTGAATCTGTTGCTGTGAGGATGGGTGTAGTGTAGCTGGCTGACCAATACGAGCTGTAAACGGGAGGAGCTTGATGGAGTTGGGGTGGCTGCAAGGTAGACCTTGTCGACAAAACTAAGTAAGAGACCAGAACTGGTTCCACTGGTTGCTCCTGTAAGCAGAGGTTGAACTTGCTGTTGTCACTGCTGCGACTGCTGTTGCTGCTGCTGCTGTTGTTGTTGCTGTTATTGTTGTTGTTGTTGTTGTTGTGGTGGTGGTGGCTGCGGTTGCTGATGTTGCTGAAGTTGTCTGCGCAATTGTTCTCGTCGCTAATGATGCTCCTGTTGTACCTGCTGTAAGCGCAGCCCTTTGTTCAACAGCTTGCTGTGGTTTGGGTGGCATCATGGGAGAGAGCAAGAGATGAGGATGAGAGAGTGCGAGAGCGATAGAGTGAGAGAGATGGCGTGATGGTGGCGGAGGGATATGCGATGAACTGGACTCGGCGCTCTTGCAACTATGCGACACGATCCTTTCGATTTCGTTTTGTTGCTGTCTCCCGTTATGATCCTCGCAAACACCTCTCTGTTTGCGCCCAAAAACTCTGTTCACCGGATTCAAAACCATTGCACAATACAAGTACTGGTCTTCGAAACTAGGAGTCGTAGGTTCGATGACGCCTTTGATGTTAGTTAGCAAGGATTATCAAAATGCGACGCGGAAATGAGAATTTCGCCCTAATGAATTTATGGGCTCCATGACCATGAAGATTCAAAACCATTGAATAATGCATAAGCGGCCTGTAACTCACTCCTTCATATTGGCTCTTTTTGGTTTCTTTTGTCAATTGCTTTTGCATCCTTTTCTCCTACATTGCACCTCAATTCCCTGTGATTCTGGAAGCGTGGGTTCGAGGCGAAAGTTACAGCCCTATACTAAAGCGACGTGGATGTGGATGACACGAGTTTCATGCAAGGATGGGAGGCGGGAACCCGAAAATGCTCTTCGATTACGACCGGAGTCGCCAGGTTGACTGGTCAATGCAAGGATAATTAATTATCGTGCCCCTGTTACTATATTGATAGCTAACTTCGCTTGTTTTCTGTTGAAATCAAACCACGTACCTCTTAGGCGGCTACTAGCGGCTCCGGAACGTTCCAGGATACTTTTCTTCGAACCTTCGACTTTTCTCTTCTTTGAAGAGGATTAAAACAGAGACAAAAAAATTCAGCTGAACGCGTTCATTACTTTGCAGTAAAAGAACTGAAAAAGAAAAAAGCGAGCCTGGCAGGGATCGAACCTGCGACTCCCAGTTTCGAAGACTGGTACTCTAAAACCTCTGAGTTACAGGCCGCTTATGTATTGATACGGAAAATGCTCGAATCATCTTTCGCCTTTCAATTATCTTTCTCTTAAGTTCTATTTTATTCCACAAAAT